TACTGCTGCTGCTGCTACTACTACTACTACTACTACCACTACTACTACTACTACTACTCCTCCTGCTACTACTACTACTGCTACTACTACTACTACTACTACTACTACTACTGCTACTGCTATTGCTACTACCACGACTAAAAGTAGTATCCACATGGCAGCTGGCGCCTGCACCAAGAGATTGAAGACTTGATCTTCGATCTTCTCCACATGCGAAGGCCTTGGCTGTCAGCCGTCGTTTTGGATTCGCAAGACGCGCTTCTTCAAAGCGTATGCATCCTCTTCAGACAAACGCAACTCGATTGCGATTGGACCTTAACCCAAAACATCCAAAAAGGGATCGAAGAACACCCTCCCGCAAATAATTGACCTGTCCTCCCGCCCCTGTCCTGTTGTCATTATCATGGTCATTCGCTACACTGTATCCTGTGCCCTGAACAGTACTTGCGGACACGAGCCCTGCTACAGCTTCATCCGGCTGCACCTTTCCATGAAAGACCATTCACACCTACATCCTGAAGTGAAGCAGTAAAGACAAGCCTCCAGTCTGCATCCTAAACTAAAACCCTCTGAACTTTGAGCCCTAAAGCAGGTGCCCGCACAAATCCCGGATCTGCACCGGCTCGAAGGGCGGCTCTGGTGGAGGATCCGTGGACTGCGGGCACGTTCTTACGATGTTGCGCAAGGGCTTGTGCCGTAGTTCTTTGAACTGGATAATTTCGGCCGTAAGCTGCACGGAATTGCTGCACGACGCTCGCAGCAAGGGTTCAACGTTGAGAATTCTACTGATTCTACTGCTCTTGCTCTTTTCTTCCAACACTTGCTAACAGTACTGCAACCATTGCTGACATTTTTAATCACACATCTACCCCTGCTGCAATAGTTTTGTATGCTTGGCGCAGTGCCTGCTTACTTCAGTCCTAGTCATGTTGCTAACGTGTGTCTTCACGCTTGTGAGGGATGGAGGTGGAAAGTACGTCATAAGAACAGAGTTCAGTTAACCGGGGGCGGATGCTTAAGGACTCTTGGTTCACGCCGGCCTCAGTTCACCAGCAGAGTCGCTCTATATCAGAACAGAGCATCTCCACGAATATCATCACACTTGCTCGTATGCGCTGGCTCTGAACTGTTTCATAATTCGTTCTTGCTAGGAACTCTTGACTATTCTTGCCATCGACACGACTCCAACAACAACTACACCTCCTACTACTTCTACTTCTACCACTACTTCTACTTCCACTTCTTCTACTACTACTACTACTACTACTACGACGACCACTACGACTACGACTACAACTACCACTACTACTCCTACTGCTACTACTACTACTACTACTACTACCACTACCACTACTACTACTACTACTACTACTACCACTACTACTCCTACTGCTACTGCTACTGCTACTGCTACTACTACTACTACTACTA